GTTATACCTGCCAGTTAAGTAGTAAGTTGACACTTGTTTCGTTGACATTGATGTCACTGTCACCCAAATGGCTGCTCAGATGCTGTCAAATGACGTTTATCGGGTAGGAAACTAGCCGATTACGGTGTCGATTCGAAAACTGCAAGCACCAGCCAATAAAATATGATAAAACGGCATTTTTTAATTACAGAGTACGCGGGTTGTAATTTTCAGATTAGCCCGAGTAAAGCACAGTGCCATTCGAAATTACAGGGGGTTTTTCGAAATGATAGGTGCGCTCACCGCATGATTTATGGCCGTTCGGGTGCGTGGTGGTCTTAGAAAATGACTTATTAATTAGCGGGTCTAAAACGGGAAAACGTCAATATTCATTTGGTTGACAGGTGGGTACTCTGCGCATGTGACACTGACAGTGCAGCCGAGTTGACAGCTGTCATTATATAAACAATGCGCTATTGAATGGGAGCCACCACTGGTGGTCAGCAACAATGGGCCAATAAATACGTCTAAAACGAGCCGCGGGGGAGAGTCGGCAACTTGTCGGTGGCAAAAATCGCCAGGAATACGAGTCGTTAACCCGCCACTGCCCACGGTAAGCCACAAGGGGATACGGCTCAGTTCGACATGTGCGTGGGCACGTCTTTTGTTTCCACTGGTAGGCCCCGAAGCCTCAAACTTCCCCTTCTTTTGCGCAGGTTTTACGCAGGACTGTACTTGTCCTAGTTGCGGTTCTCCATAGTCGATTGAGGGAATGTTGCCTGCTTTAAACGCGGCTGAAGGGCAAGTCCGGCCCTGTCCACGCATTCCCCGGAGGAATTACCGGACCGCTCGGTACCACTTCTCCGGGTTCTGGCGTGGGCGTCCGCAAAACCCGCAACATGGCTTCTTGAGTAGTCAACATGGCGGCGCAACCTGGTACCATCCAGTGTCGCGCGTTTTTTGCTCTGCCTCTTGCAAAATGTCGCGTTCAAAACAACACCATTTTCCGCTTTATATCTCAATATTCCCGGCTAAAGCCGTCCCGGCTAAAGACGTGTTTCATGCATCCGTTTATACGATGGTACGATGATACGAAAGTGTTTCTATTGGTTGGAGATCTGTCATCTGTTCGTACGTCGTCGTACGAACTGACAGATTTCCAACCAATAGAAACACTTTCGTATCATCGTACCATCGTATAAACTGATGCACGGGACAAGGCGGCTTTGATCTTCTTATCAATCAACAAAAAAAGACAAGTCGCATTCAAAAGGATTGCGCGCTTTAATCGGGACAGCGAAAACAAAAAGAAATCGACAAACCATAAACCGGTTAACACCTAGAAGCAATGACATAATCATAATCCAATCCGCGGGAATTATTTCTTTCCCTTTTGCTTTTCCTGTTGTTTTTTCTCCTGCTCGCGCTTGCCGTCCGCCCATTTGTTGAATATCGCCCGCTCCTTCCCCAGGGGTGTTTTCTTGTACCTGTCACGATGATTACACGGTGTCTCAACGAATCGAGCAAGCTGCGCGCGATTTACCATTTCTGGAACTTTTTCCACTCCTTATCGGTGATCGGCTCGAGCTGATTGGCCACGAACACTTCGTGCAGCTCTTGCGCTCTCAACGGCTTGTACTTCAATTGGACGATGCGGCGAGCTGTCAAAATCAGCTCCACCGCCTGCTTGATCACCGGGTATGGTTGATTGACAGTCACTGTTGCCAAGCTGGTGAAGTTGAAGTTGCGATCGACTCCGTGGTAGGGGCGCAGCAGCTCACGCCACCACAAATAGACGCTGCCGTAGTCCGGCCGGGGGATGAGAATCACCTTAATGAGCGCGTTAGAAGCCGTCCACACCCCCGCTGCTGCTTCGTTTTTACCCTTTCGAAGGCCTTCTTCAGTTTGGCGGCTTGCGCCAGCCAGGGGGCGCAGGTGGCGCCCAGCACCAGCACGCGATCCTCCGGCTTGATCGCTTTGATGATGCCCTTGACCAGTTTCTTGCCCACCCGCTTGGGGTCCAGCTCCCTCTCGTCTTTGGGCACTTTCTTGTAGAAAACGCGCTCAGCCCGATCGAAGTAGATGATGGAGGGTTGGAGCAGCTTGGACATCTTGGTCACCAAATGGATCAGCATTCCTAAGCCCTAAACGAGGGGGAACGAGCCCTTAGGTGTGAGTCAGTCTGCTTCGATGGCGCCAACTTTGTACTTTGCTTCCCTCGTAAATCCCCGCGGTGACTTCGGGGGAAAGGTCGAAAAGGACACATTGGGTGTGGTTGAAGACGGCATTGGCCAGCAGATGGATGCCGCTCTGTCTGGGCCCAACCAGCAGGACGGACCTGCAAGAAATCACGTGAATGTTAAGGGCTTGATCAACCCCTAAACAACCATCCCACCTGGGCTTCTTCATGATCTCCACTCCCAGGGGCTGGATGCAGTTCAAAGTGACCGCTTGCCGAACGTCCAGGATGGTTGCCGCAGGGTCGAACTCTTTGGCTCGCAGCTCGGTGTTGTTGTAACTGCAACAAGGTTGCCGGCTAGTTCACTAAGTCCCTAGCAGTCCGTTTGGGTACCTGAAGTCGCCCAAGAACTCATCCAGGCGCGCCTGCGGGTAGCAGCGAATCACCCCGTTGTTGACCAGCTCTTGGAACAGGTCCTCGATCATGCGATTGGCCGTCAGGTCCTTTTTGCCCTTCTTCTTGCCTTTTTTGCGCTTGTTTTTCTGTTTCTTCTTCTTGTACTTTTTGCCCTTGTCCTTGGCCAGGGCCTCTTGAAGAATCTCCAGTTCCAACCTTCGAAACAGCTTTGCTGCCAGAGGGATTTGGGGGGACCGTCGGCTGTTTACCTCATCAGCTCGTCGGCTTGCCTTCGGATCTCCAGCTGAGTCTCGTAGCAGTACTGCTCGTTGATCAGGTCCAGGTAGGGGTCCTCTTGCTCGCCTCTTTTGTCCCAGATCCGTTGGAACTCCTCCTCGCCTGCCCGCTTCAGAGCTGTCGACGTGGGTTCTGCCAACTCCGGCAGCTCGTACTCGCCCGGTTTTTTCTTCTTTTTTTTCCTCGCCGCTGCCTCTTTCAGTTTTTTTTCCGCCTGAAAGTGTCAAAAAAATTCAGCGCCTCCGCCAGTCCCCACCTCGGCCCCTACCTCCTTTTTCTTCTTTTCGGCTTCCTGCTTGAGCTTTTTCTCTTTGGCCTGTTTGGCTTTGAGCGCCTCCTTTCCCCCGGCCTTTGCCTTCTCCCGTCGCTTCAGCTCGTAGTCGTCCAGGTACTCCTTAGGAGTCATGGTTTCGCCCCGCACCACCAGGATGGTACCGCCCTTGTCTTCGGGCGGGTATTTGTCGAAGGTTCGCGCCTCCACGTACCATCGGTGAAACCTAAACGGGTTGTAAATTGCGCGTTTGTCGAATGGTTGATTTGGTGTGGGTACCATTCGCGGATTTCGTCCTCGATGTCCTCCAGGAGGCCTGGGGCGACCACCCGCAGGATGCGGGCCTTTTCCCGGTCCATCGCCTGGATGTATTCCAGGATTTTCTGGTCGCGGTAGGTTCTGCGCCTGGCTAGGTTGGCCTCGAACACCTCCGCCTCCTTGGTGGACCTCCAACTAGGCTCCGTCATGCCTATCCCCACCAAACTGTGCACGCTTGCGCTTCATTCATTCATTCAGAGGCTACCTATGAGAAGTCTGCGCCGTTGTTCCCGCCCCTCTAGATGGTCCCTCTCCTTGTATCCTCTCCAGGTTTTTTGGATTTGCATGGCTGCCCTCTCGTTGACGGCCGGATCTTCTGGTTTCTCCGCCTCCTTTTTGGCTCCCGGTTGCCTCTGAGGGTCGACAGCGCTGGTTAGCCTGGTTGAGCCGTCCTACTCACACCGCCTACCAAAGCTTTGCTGCGCTGCAGTTTCGCATTTTTCTCGTAAAAGTAGACCCTCTCCTGTCGGCCCCGCTCAGCCGTTTGGAGGCACACCAGCGCTCTGTTGAGCTGCTCCTCTCTGCTTCGTGTCTCCAGCTCCTCAGCGGTGAAGTCGAGCTGCTGCTGCTGCTGCTGCGCCTCTTTGGAGCTGCAACCGCTCCTCACACAAAACGGGGTTTCAGATCGCTGAATGGCTTACACTAGGATTTTCGTAGACCTCCTCTTTGGCTGGTCTGCTTCACTGGTCTGTGGTTGCTCCTCCGGAGGGCCGGATTCGTTGGGTTCGGGCGCAAAAACCACCGATTTTGAGGTGGGCGGCTGGGCGGCTTCGAGGTTCGTTTGGGAAAATACCACTGTGGCCGTTGGCGGCTTGTATATGGTTTCTCCTCTCTGGAATACGCACAGGGAGTTTTTCCGGGCACTGATCAGATCGACCAACCTGTATTCTCTGGACCAAGTCCTCCACATTTACTGGCCTGTGGTGGAAGAGACAGGGATGCAGGATTTCTACGTCGTAGGGCACCATTTTGAGCTCGACCAGGGTGCCGTCGATACAATGAAACTCGCTCAGACTGATCTTTCTGAGCTCGTCGTTGAACTCGCTCAACCGTATGCAGGCCGCGTCCACCAGCTTCTTAACGGAGACTCGTTTCTGAGGCTGCAACAAGGGCGGCTAACGCGGCTCAGCAGGGACGCGACGGTCGCTACCTGAGCCATCTGATCCAGGCAGGCGGTCAGCTCCTGCACCAGTCTGGAGTACTGGGCGTAAAGGCCGCCAATCAAGTCGTTCGCCAGGTTTCGATCGTTGATTGGCTTGAATTTCCTGCGAATGGTTTCGTCGCCTGCCTGCAGGTCTTCCAGCCTCTTCTTCGATCTGATCCACCAGTTGGTGTAGGACTCGAAGGACATTGTTCTGAGGGCAAATTAAACTGCGGATTTTTTTAACGGAAATTTTCCCGCCTATGACATTGACTGGGGTTTTTGGGACTGTTTGGATAAGTTTTTATATTTTTCGGTTTTTTTAATATCCACTTCCATTTCCTTCTTTCTGGTCTTAAGTGCGGCTCACTTTAATATTGCTAAATTTCTATTTGTTGTTTTTTCGTCCCCGTTCGCCTTCAGGGTCCTCTGCCGACCAAATTACTGCGTATCGGGAAGTGCCCTATTTTGCATCTCTCTCTGACATTAATGAAGGCATATATCGCTTCTCCTTCTGCGCGAATGCGTGACAATTGTTGAATGAAACGTGCAGTTAAAATATGTCTTACTTTTCACACCCAAGGAAATGTTCATGATGCCTAATTAATTCGGGACATTTTTCAACATTAATCGACTGAATTCTATACATGAGCGATTAATTGAACTCAAACCCAATTTCGCCGAATAAAAGTGCCTGCTAGAGCACTATTCTAACTGATTCTACGATGATTTAAAGGCAGGAAAAGCCATGCAAAGTCCGTCTCTGGCCATCGGGCACGGCACAATACAGTAAATCAAAAGACGCGGCATGTTCGCGTAACGCCCGAGGCCCCTGACCAATGGGAACGGGCATTCTGAAGGCAGCTGAATTACTACTTCCGCGATTAATGTGCATTTTTCAGCCAATCGTTGGATTTTTCACATTCGTCCTGATCAGTGGCAGCGCGGTTTCAATTTCAGAGGGCGCTGTTCGCGATTTTAGTTCGACTTATTCACGTTAGAGGGACGATCAAACTAAAAAAAAGTTCCACACAAGGACAAGTTCGTCCATCAAAGATGCATTAAAATGTTCTTTATTTATCAATTTATATGCCAAAGAAAACAACCCGCTGTCAACCAAATACAATCAATTGTAGTTAGTAGTTTCGGTTGGCCCCTGGTATGTTCGGGCGGTGCGACAAGAACAGAGAGGTTTCCATGGTTACCGCTCAGTCGGTCTTTCTCCTGCCCACGGCGGCGTTTCGGCTCGAATTGGCAGTGATGTTACGAGGGGCAAAACTAGCTGAACTTAAGCAAACAACATTTACATAAAAATGCTTTGGCCCTAAATTATCGAACCCTTTCTTCTAGACAGTGGTTTGAGAAGAGAGACGGAGCTCCTTGCTGAATGGCTCCTTGACGAAGTGTTACGTCGCTAGCCACTTCCACTTTCTCGTCGTCGAGATGTGCAGCCTCCGAGCCACCTCAGAGCCATTCTTCGAGTCGCGCCCCAAAGGGAGGCGCGATGGCGCAGGCCTGGCCAATGGCCACAGGCCGGAGCCCCCTCTGGCAATACCCAGGAGGGGACCGATGGGACTTTGCATCCTGCCCGCAGTTCGGTCGGGAAGCCCTGAGGACTCGCGCGAAGAACCACAGAATCGGCGTGTTCGGACAGCATTGTCTAGTGCATCGAAATCTGGACGTCCCGGAGGCCGTTGGTCAACCGTCTATGACCGAAATCAGTGAAACCACCGGCAAAGTTTCCGAACGGTTTGTGCGCGTGCTGTGCAATGTGGTGACCAGGTTTAGAGTGTTTGCTTGAAGTTTTTCCTTTTCGTTTCTCTTTAATGACTTTCAAGGAAAATGGAATGATGTCACGGTTCTACTTGAACTCCAACTCGTCGTTGGCCAACTACCAGCAGTATGAGGTGAGTCGCTTTACTCAGAATTTAGCGTTCAATTGAAGTGCAGCCTCCTGATTACCCGCAAACAAAGCAAAAGCTCAGTTTTGCTGTTATTCAAATGAGTGTTTTGCTCGAAAAGGTTTCTCAGAACATCCCTGCAGTTGCTTGCTTTGCTGGCATTAAATCACTAGTTGCTTCCCCATGCTTTCAGTTAAATTTGCGCAGTTTGTTGCTAAATGTGTGTTGAACGCCGAAGTTGACCAAGAATTTTTTAAATTTCAATAGTTCGCAAGTCCATCGATTTAAAATGAACTTGGAAAACTAATGTGTGTCTTAACGAGAAGCTGAACTTGCTATGGGAAGTGTTTAAACCTTAATGTAATTGAAAGAGGAAAATGTCAATGTCTTAGCGTTCAAATACTTAAATCAAAAGCGAATATTTGTAATAAGACCTCCAAGAGGCCAGTTCATTAGTCTTTAAATTCTCCAACTTTTTCCCGATTTAACGAACTTTATTGGCCCTTATTGGGCGGAAGTTAGTCCCTTAGTCTTTCAAGAATCCCATTTTTGTTCAGCTTCTTTGAGGGTCAAAAGCTTCAATTTCCAATCTGGTTTAACAAATTTTTCCGCACTTTAATTCAATTTTGTGCATGTGTTGCACGTTTTCGACCACTGTGTAGATATTTCGGGTTCCTGCTAGGCGCCGTTTGGAGTTTAGACAAACTTCAAATCTCATAAACTCTCTGTTGAAAAATAGAGTTGACTATTGAACTTGCTCATAAAACGAATTAGGATTTATTTCCGAGACTCTTCAAGGTATGAAAGTACGTGTTTGTACCTTGTTTTTGTGAACATTTATCAACATTTTATAGGAAAATTTATTGTGGGGTGAGAAGAGTATTATTTGCAGTTTGGTGAACACCCAGTAGAAATTCGTGTTCTCTGACCATGTCTGTTGTTAAAAGGTTTGTTTCTATTCTTTGTAACTTTGTAGGCATTAAAAAATTGGTGCTCGGATGAATTCGAGTGAAATTTGCTTGAATTTTACAGTTTTGCCGGCTCTTTAGGGCAAAATAATCCTATGCTCCTATCCTGATTTTGTGGGATGTTAAAAAGCATGTTTCGGACAGAAAAAATGCTAAATCGACTCGAAGTCTCTTGAGGCTTCAAATCCGGTGAAAGTCGTTCGAGGCAAACCCCATTCTATCTTCTCTTTACTCAATGTTCATTGGATGCTTGCATTTAAGTGGAATTTTCGAAAAATCGTGTCGATTTTCCCCGTTGAAGAATTCTGTTTGCATTGACCTTAGTGGCCAAAAATCGTTCTTTCTGCTCGATTTGCCGAAATTTCTCAACGATCCCTGAGCAAAACAGTTGTTAAAATTGGCTAAACACATGTAGACTTTTAGATTCTTCCTTGAAGCCTTTTGCTGATGACAATTTTTATTTTACTTTTACTTGGAACCGGAAAATTTAATTTATTGAAGTTTGGTTGCTCAAACTGCGTTCGATAATTTGTTGTAAAATGACAACAGTAATTAAGCATCTCTGGCAAATCGCACTCTCCCATTGTTTGCGCATTCTAATGATTAAGTACTAGTCAGTGATTAATTTTGAAAAACGACGTGCCACAATCAAAGGCGGCTGGTTTCCGAGTCGCTTACATAACCTTTTTCGAATGCTATGCGGAGAAAAAAAACACGTCGAATTCCGACATCATCCAACACCCCCAATCATTAGGCAATTTGTTAGAGATCGCGCTATAATTTCCGAGTTGGGCCTGTTTTCGGGTTTTCGACAGAATTCGATCCAATCACTATAATTTCCTTAATTCACTCAAATTACATGTGGCGTGTTCAACCGATGTATATATCAATGTTTAGATAGTTTTTGTGGCTTTTGCCGTCATTAGACGTCCAGTTGGAACTTTATTGAAACAACTGCAATTAGCTGTCATTTGTTGACATTGACACCTGAGTTGCCTTGTCAAAGTAATCAAATGACAGCTAAGAGCAGTTGCAGTGCAACTAAGCAGAGATGCTAAAAAAACGCCATTTTTGCAACGCATCTCAAGCCTGAAAGTAAGCAATAATTCTGCCGTAAGAACGACGCCTTAAACAGAAAAAACTCATTGACACGTTGACAACGCAATCCATTAGAAAACGGTCATAAATATGCAAACCAGCCGGGTAAAACACAAACTCGTCCCGTAATGACTAATTTCGTTTTATGCGCTTCCAAACGCAAAGGAGAAATCGCCGTCTGTCATTATCATCAATTGTATATACTTTCCTGACTGTGTTTCAATTCCAAATCAAAATTCATTCCTGGGTTTCAGTCATTTATTGTCTCTATTTATCAATTGAAATACGTTTCGGTGTATTTTTCCACCATCATCAGTTTTTATGTGTA